GAAATTTACGAAACAATTAGGGAAAAATGGAACGAACAACGGTGGTTGAACACAAAATAATATTGAGACATGTGATGCCCCTCCCCACCCCACCCCCCCGCTTGCCAACAATTTCGGGAAAGGAAATATTAATTAGTGATTGTAGTGACAAAATTTTCCTTCCTAAATATTCGGCATTATATACTTACACTTCCATTCTTTGCCTTCATAACTCTGCATTACTTCTATCTATCGCCGGCATCTAGCGCCGCCCCTGTAGTATCAGTGCATTTTCATATACCTTTCTACTTGATATATATTATATATAGTATATATTTTTCTAAAATATAACAATTTAATGATTTTCGTACTTTCCTCGCAGTTTGTTCCTTCATAACCAGGTTTACATCTACATTGATATGAATTTACTCCATCAATACATTCTCCATTTACACATGGACGGCCAACACAATCGTCAATGTCTATGAATTGAAATAAAAATTTTCGTTTGGAATAAAGACATATATACCATGCATATAGTTATGACCACATCTAAATTTCTATTTTCTAGTACGTTCTCCATCGTATCACCACAAGTATTTTTAGTGTTTCATTTAGAAATAATGCTGCAATGAAGAGATTTTATAGATGATATGTCAAAGAGAAAATGATATCTAAAGTTCGGTAAGTCAGTAAAGTTTACATATATAAATAAGAAGAATCATTGATATTGTTAGTATTTTAATTGAAAATATTTTACTATAAGGTTCATGCACTAAATTAAGTGACAAATGGTCTTACTATTCTCGCAATTTTTGCCTTCATAACCAGGTTTACATCTACATTCATATGAATTTACTCCATCAATACAATCTCCATTTACACATGCACCACCAAGACAATCATCAATGTCTAAAATGTAAAACATTCAAGTTTAACGTGTCAGTAGATTTATAGTTATGTTGCCTGGTGACAATAATTTGAAATATTTTAATTATAAAAATAATCAGTTAATACAGTCAACAACTCAGGGTTTCGCTGTTACTGTTGGTACTAATTTACGACTAAATTTGACTGTATGAGGCTTAGATTTTTTATTACGGGTACATATACTTTGGAAAGAAGATGATCAGATTAAGATAAGCCTAAGGATGGGGAAGACACTGCATGGAAGACACATGCATGCATGTAGTGATGTCTGTGGGGAATACACATGTTATGTGGTGTGTGGATAAATAATTGTTCGCAGGGACGTCGCGAAGACATCAACATTGGGGGGGGGGGGGGGGGGG